ACGGAAACAGCAGCGTCTCTTTAAGAGCAACCTGATAATGGGGTCAGAGAGGAGACAGGACCGTCTGTGCGAGACAATGAATGTATTCATGTGTGAACGTCTGAATGAGACCCACAGAGTTATCACTGTGTTTACTGTCTCCCTGCTGCAATGGCTTCTGGGTAAAAGATACGACACACACACGCTTGTATTTACGTCTTTGTGAGGACCCGAACTGACCGTCTCTGTCTTCACTGTCTCAAACAAATGAGTTCCTCCATTGTTTTCCATCTTAAACTGAGATGGCGAGCAGCTCAGTTATGTTCACTTGTGTTTCATGTGCTTTCAGAGGCATTAAGTGATTCAAGGCATCACTGGTGACCTAACCAAATGTTTTTTGGGGGGAAAAAAAGTTTTTCTAGGAAAAAAAATGTAGCCAATTTTTTTCAGCTGCCTAAAAAACTGATAAACAGTTTGAGACCAAATCACACAGGAAATAAAATTGTTGAACATTCAAGCCTCAAAAACACATGAACAAAAAAATCCCCACCTTCAGAAAACGTCCCCACTTAACAGAAATCGAATCTAAAGACAACTTCTAAGAACAGCGTGATGACGTAATTGTCCCTCGTTACACATTTAAGATAAGAACTTGAAAAAGGTCCCCACTTTAAAAGAAATTCTCTTCACTTTTTGTAGTAGTGTCAAAAATGTCCTTATAGTCTTCAGATATAATAAATTTACATCCATGTATGCCCATTTTTCAAAAAGGTTCCTTCTCTTAAAAAACTGCCACAAATTTTCCCCCAGATTCATAATAATGTCCCACATTTGCAAACAACGAGTCCACACTTGGTTTGCCCCAAAATGTCCTAAAAATGTCCCTGCTTCACATATCCATGTCCCAGTTTTCCACACACACACATGTCGGGTGGGGGCATCTAATTGACATAATGCTTTCCCTAGCTCTAACCCTAACCATGAAAAATGAGTGCCTAACCCTGACCCTGTCACTAAAACCACATTTTGAGTCTCAAAATGCCTTCAAACCTGTGGGGACCAGGATTTTTGTCCCCGCAAGTATAGTAAACTTCCAATTTTTGGTCCCCACAAAGATATAAATACACGCTCACACACACAGAGTTCACAAAGTCAAGGCAGTGCTGCTTTCTCTGGCTGTTAATATTAGCAGAAACCACTAAACCACAATGAGATAATACCCGTCACACACACTCACACACACAAATGTGTGATGTAGGAACAGTTTCAGTAATGTCTCATGTTGCAGTCATACAATCACCCAAATCAATATCAAATCGGATTTTACACATTGACATCAGTAACAAACAGTCAGCAGAAGGTTCAGAAACATTTTCTGATGCTGAAATCAAAAAAATACTTGAATGCAAACATGATTTATCGAACAGTTTAGCGAATTCATATCAAATACCAACCCAGTTTTCATTCTCAGGTACCTGCCCATGTTTCTGCTTTAAACACGACTGTTGGTGG